ATATATATATATCCCACCGGCTTGTAAACAAGCATGGTGCGAACGCAACAACAATAATTACAATAACAATGAAAGGGAACAGGTGGATTCAACCAAATAATTTCCTATTATGCATCCGGCGGGGCGACTGACATTTACCGGTTACGTGAACAGGCTATCAGTGCTGGAACATTGCTGTTTACACTGCATTGTACAAATCTGGTTGGGCAAACGGATAAAGAATGTCGAGATCGAACGAGAAGGTCGGAGTCACGCACTAAAGAGATTGCGTGACCTCCACAGACTGCGGTACCCGGGGTATGTGATGCGTGATCACTTTATAAGCATCCTCAACGTGCGGTGTTTGCCGAACAAGTGGTGGAAGGAAGAAAGTCGAATGTGGTAAGAACTAGACCTGGTATGAGAAAATGAAAATCCTCATCAGGGGACTTGGATATGTAGGTCGTCCCAGCGACGGGTGCTGGAGACCAGTCGAATCGTTGGTGATATGGCTGAATATTGTGAACAGTGAGGTTTGGAGAGCAAAATCAGCATATTCGTATATTTAGTTTAATTGTCTTATGAATTTCCACCTTAGCACTGTTCATAACAACTTTCTACGTCTTCCCTCCATCATTTCAACCAAACGGCCGCCCAAGAGACATCAGGCAACCGGTGCAACATAAATAGTTGGACAAACTGGATCTAAGAATACCCTCTACACTTATCTTATTTCAATTGAAGGAGCACTGGGGCAGTAGTTTTGTCCTCGATGGGGCTCATACCGAAACGGAAAAGTAAATGAAACACGAGGATTCAATGTGCTCGGAAGGAGAGTGAGAATTCTAGGACCAGAGAAATGGACAAGCTATGACGTGGCATGACGAGTTGAGGAAAAGATTTTGATTGTTGTTCGTTGGAGACACTATGGAAAATATGACAGTGAATCGAAGTTAGTGAAGTGACCTCATTTGTACACGTCTACCGTCCCGAAATTAAAAATGCAGAAGGGTTTAAAACTGTGGGCAGTAGATAAAATGTTTTTCACCTTACCCCACCACCACCCGTCACACCCAGACACTAGAAACCTACTGCTTTTTTTCTTTTAACCTGTGGTTACTTTATCTCCGAATCTGTAGAATCGTTATGTACACGCCCTGTCTGCAGTTAAGTGTGGAATCCAACAAAAACAATTCCAATCTTGCTTCTTCCGACAATTCATTCAAATTTTGATACCAGTTAACAACCACCCCCCTACCAACCCCGCCTCCACGCACCAGTTTAATGACGAACCCTGTCGAACACAATGAGAACAAAGGACAGCAATGGTCGGTGGAGAAGAACACATATGTAAACGGACGGACACAAGCAGAAGACTGCCACTTCCCAAGCACTGATGATGTCACCTCGGCTGGTGATGAAACGCGTGCAAACAAATTGCCAATTGCTCGGCGAACAGGCGAAATGGAGTTACGTTTATTGCCATTCCCTCATTTGTTGAATGATCACAGTTGAAACCGAAACAGGGAAGTTCAGGATTATCGTTCAAATTTAACAGAAACCGAGAGGGGAGTTGCACGTTTACTGTAATCGTACACTTCGGTCAAAACCTTTCCACAATCCAATTTGCAGTGCGGATGTATGTGAATGCGACCAGTTTGTCTGGTAGTTTACCAAACTTAGTACCCAAATAAGCGTCGATTCCTGATATGAATAGCTAACTGAACTTCGGTTTCAAGTAAACGGTGAGATATCAAACGGAACATGAACAAGACACAAAAAAACAGCAATCAAAACATGGAATTTCACTTACTCCAATCACTGGTTGCAACAATCTCCTAAATGCGTCACGTTTTGCTTTCTCTGGCAACGGTTTGGGTTTTTGATTGAAAAGTTTCTCTTCAAATATCTGTTATATGAAACGAGAAGATATGAAGATACACGATGAAGATAGAAGAACAGATCAGACATCAGTGAGACAGAAAAAGTAGGTAGCTATTCCCAGACAGTATAGAAACAGATGGGGATCTCAAAGTGAAACAAACACCGATAACTTTATTCTTCATTTTGTCAAAAAAGCTTCTCGTAATAGTGATTACCGGGTCCGTGGATTTCCGGTGAAAATGACAGTGAACGATACCGATACCGGCCCTCAGAAACTCGGACGCTTAGTTGTAGTTTATTGTCTGATGAACAGCAATGCACATGGAAACTGAACTTTTTTCCGCCGTAGAAGTTATTGAAATAGAAATGACAAACTATACAGCACGGGAAATCTTGCGACATGTTACCTAATAGACAGACATGACAACCGAAACGCTATGTGCAACTTTGGGTCTTGTTCGATCTCGTCGCGAATCCTATCATGGACTGCCAAGGCTAAGCAAATCAAGAATGCTCAGTTTGTGGGGCAACTGTTCGGACAGCTTAGGTTTCTTCTCTGATTTTGAATTTCAGAGTGACTTTTAAACACGAGAAAGAAGGCCCAATTGGTGGTGGCGCAGTGGTTTAGTCGCGGTCACCGGCGTGCTCTAGGCCCTATGGTTTGAAGTTCGAGCCCCACTACCACCAGCAAACTTTGATGGTAGACAACTTTGCTGTCATCCGGTTCAATACCGCGCCTAACCTAGAGGGGCCTTATTTGGTTCGCCGCTCCAAGTTCCGGGGCTTAGATTACCGGTTGCCATCACCGAACAGCGGGTCCTTGTGACTATGGGGCTTTCTCCGTTTGTTGTTTATACACTGAGGTGTGTAAAAAAAATCCAAGAATGCTTAACTCCCCATTATTACTCTACCAAATGGTGTTCGCTAAATTGATCTTTCTCGTTGCCATCCCGTGACGTAAGCATTTCGATCAAGGCGAGAGCATGAAAGGACTATCCAGAGCTACAACCGGATTGATTAACCAACGACAGTTATCTCATTTATGGCAGTTAGGAAATCCTGACTTCAAACCCATCAGGAAGAGCTGAACGAGCTATCTTTAGATCTTGACGGCAAATACCATCGACTTGAGTGAGTGGACATTGTGAGCTAGGCAACATGTATTTGTGAACTATTCGAGGAACGCAAAATTCGTCTGAATGGATACTGATCCCCCACACACGACTCAGCTTGCTCCGGGAAAACCACCCGATTCAGCTGAGGAAAAACGTGTGTTTATAAAAAAACTCATGGATTGATTTCATCACTCTAAAGGTGTTTGTATCATGACCTGCCTGGCACACAGCCTGAACCTTAATGCATGTGGCATACGTACATAAAAATATACGTAACATCCTGCTTTCTCATGCTAACAGGAGGAATGACACATGTTCGTCCGGTGAGTTTTATGGTCAGTCTCGAACTTTAGAAGTCAAAAGCAAACGTTATGTGAAGTGTGGCTGAACGCTTTCCCGAGATGCGACTAATGCACCACGTCATGGCTCTCCAAAAAAATGCACCCAACAGCACTGGAGGCAAAACCCAGCAGACGGAGGGATGGGAACAATCACCTGAACAGAATGCTCAATTTTCGCCATTCGTTGAGCGTCCACCGGTTGTTCGACCGCGGCCAGAGCCTGAGTGACCAACTTTCGTAGATTAGTCTGCACGACCGATCGGTCCACGGCGTGATAGACACGCAGACCTGCCGCGATTAGGGTGGGCATGTTTGTGGACGCGTTGTTGGCATTCACATGCAGACCGCACAAAACACCGAACAGGATAGTTTCTGCCAACGGAGTAGGTAAAGTTCGTCCCAGAGTTGCAAAACTGTCCGGACCGTTTTCACTGCGAGTCTGTTGGGTTAGCTGCAACCCAGTGTGATACGATGTAAATTCAAGGGAAGAAAAGTACAGAAGGTAGTGAGCAGCTCGCTGAGTTGGACACAGCAACGGGTCGGATAAATTGTGAAATGTGAAATAACTGCACTTGGTACCAGTTCTACTATTCAGATAGCTCAATTCTGATTCAGGCTTATTGGTAATAGCAGAAACACGGGGGGGGGGGGNGGTTTACGGAATAATGATGAGATATCACACAGGTGTACAGTTTGTTCGCCGTTCGTCAATTAAGGATAGCTAAGGTGACTGTTAGTCAAGTCACGTGAATGATCAATACTTGCGAGTGTGATCTGAGGGCGGTTAGAAATATGAATACATCAGAAATGGGACTCGCCAACAACTCACGTATAAAATGTGATATGTGAAGGATTCAGAAAAGCGGTCCGTGTGTGTAGAAACTTATCACAGACAAAGCACACTGGTCTGAATTTTACTAATCAGGATGATTACAAGAATAGATCGACAATTTTTCCGGATATCCAAGGGTGGGAGGGGTTAGGAAAAGCGCAGGGACATTCAATCCAGGACTTGGAGGGTGTCAGTTGAATAAACCACGAGAACATTGAATTACCTACGCATATTCGGCTCAAGCACTTTCCAATGTGATAATGTGGTCTGAGGAACAACTTCATACTAGTCGATTCGAACGCGGTGTGCTTAGGCCTGATTTTGGTTGACGATGTTTACCTGTGAAATTAGATCAAACCAAACATCGCCATAATAAACCACAGGGCAAGGAAGTTATCCCTCGTTGTGGCCCCTATTCCAGAAAAATGACGAGTAACCAGAATGAGCAACTCACGACAGCAAAGTTTAATCGACGAGAAGAACGATCTTCACCCTGCCCTTGCACCTCACGAAATGCTCCCATACGACCAAGCGTCTCAAATAGCCTCTATTGGGGAAGCCTTCTCGCGGCGGTGTTTTCCCACCAAAATGAGAGGACGAAAAGCCGATATCCGGGGCTATAGTCGGGTTGGTGGACCACTGGCAGTTCACTTAGGGGAGTTGGCCAAAAACCCTGATTCCAAACCAACCATAAGGAAGCGTAAGAACTACTCCCACGCCTTTTCACTTGTGGCAGTGGTCACCGGCTCGATTGGGCGTTGCGGGGTATTGGGCACCTGGGACGTTTGACCCCGTCCGAAGGGTTATGATCCGATCAAATAGATACCGACCGGCAAAGGACTGCGGTTTTCACACACCGCTCCGCTGCTTTGCGGGTCAGGCTTTGGCTAGCCGAAGGCTACGGTTGTGGATTCCTCAAGAGAATTCACCTGCCTTGGCCTGGGCAACCTGGCAGTACTCAGCCCACAAGCCAATCATGGAAAATTTTCTTTTCATAAATACTCTTGTACCATGATTTGCTTGACACAGTCTGTCCTCAAACAAATGTGAAATATAATAATTATAATAATATCAGAAGAAGAACAATCTTCACCCTAGTGATGCTTGTTAATTTTAAAAAAAATCGGAACTTCACAAGAAATCAGCAGTACTCGTCTGCTCACGAAGACTGCGCGGAACGGGCAGCGATGATCAGATCAATCACGCATCCTAAACTTTTATATTTGCATAAAAAGACACCCCTTTACAGTTGGGAAATAACCAACATAGAATCTAACTAACCAAATGGAGATATCTCTGTAGTCCACACGCAGTACCTCCATTCACAAAGCTGATTTGGTGGGATGTGACAGTAGCAGTATCCTAGAGATTCGAATTCAGACAGGGAGCTGAAAGCGGTTTTCCGACAACAACAATTCGTGTAAAAGGGAGGGAGTGAGAGAACATGTCACGTGGTGTTTCTGCATCACTACTGTGTGAGAGAAGGCAAACCAAACTGGATAATAGTGACTGGTAAATCACTCATTGTTTCGCTTATTTTATTCGTTTATCCACGAAGGTTTATTTTACGCGGGTCAGGTTTATCGAACCACACCGGTAACTCAGAGTAATAGAAAACTAGACGATCTGCATCAGACAGTTGTGATAAGGACAATGAACAGAAGTTGGGAATCATGATTTACAGTTTTAATTATCAAGTTTACCTCCCTATAAAGTGAAAAAGTACAATGGAAGTGAAGAGTTTCGCCTTCCGAGACGACTAAAAATTGAAGTTTAATGAAATGACCTCCTTCTGACGGTTGGAATTCTAGTGTATTCGGGCAGTAAGTAACAGGCAAAAGGGTAATTTAGTTTATTCTACGGTCAGATCAAAACGAACACTATGATCCGCCTTTACCTCCACTTTGTTCACGGACTACTTAGAACGTGTGCTTGCCTGATGATGAATGTTACCTTGTTTTCGCTTATGCACCGCTCTGTTCGAGTACACAGTAAGGCATCCTCGAGAAGGTAACAGTCGGTGAGTGACGTCTGGTAGAAAAGGTAATTTGACTCACGTATCAATATATATGAATATATATATATATATATATATATATATATATATATGGCACCGGCTCCTGACAGATCACGGAGACAGCAATTAGCTCCAACGACCGGTATGGGCTTCCAAGCAATACAACAATACAA